ACTTTAAAAAAGCTTTTTACTTAATTTAAATAGTTAAAGAAAAGAAATGGAAAATAGTAATATAAACCTTTTTTAATCATTATAAATATTTGATCATACTATTTAGACTTATAAATGCGTTAATAATATTTTAAGGAATAATTGAAATTATATTATAGAAATTTTTTAGAAAAACGGTTTTTATTTATTTAAATAATATATTAATTTTTTCCGAAAATCTTAACTAATATAAAAAATATATGGATAAAATATTAAAAGCTTTACATAAAGCTAACTTATTAATAAACTTAAAGAAAAATAAATTTTATATATAAAAAATTAATTACTTAAAATATATTATCACATTTAGATAAATTAAAATATAAGATTTAAAAATTATAATAATATAAAATTAATTAACATTAAATAATATTATTATTATATAATAATTTTACAATTTTACTAATTATAATAAATAATTAATAAAAAGCTTTAGTAAAATTATAGATTTTATTATAGTTACCATATAAAGAAAGAAAAGAGCTTGTTAATAAACGTTAAAAACAAATTAAATTTTTTAAAAAAAAATATAGAAAATTATTATTAATAATTTAATAATAAGATTACTAAGGCCAAATTAATTAAAATAAATTTAACATAATCATAAATATAATATTAAAACAATTTAAAGATAATAGGATATAGCACTTAATGGTTTATTTATTAAAGACCTTTAAAGGAATTTAAATAAAATATTAAACTTATAATAAAGAATTATTTATTATTATTATAATATTTGAAAAATGGAAATATTAACTTAATGAAATTAAAAAACTAATTATAATACTTTTAAATTATAATAATTTTTAAATATTAATAATTATTTAAAAACTTTAACTTAAAATCTAAAAATAAATAAAGTACTTTAACAATTTTAACTTTAAAATAGTTTATATCGTAAGAAAAGCTAATATATAAGTAAATATGTTTAATAAACTTAATGGTATTAACATAAAAAATATAATAAAGGAAAAAGTAATATTTATATTAAACAAATAAAAAGCACTTATTTTATTAACATTATATTTTATAAAAAAAGATAATATATAAATAATATACATTAAAATAGCTATATTTATTAAAGAATTACTTATAAAAACCAAAACCGAAAAAGGCATAATTACTTATTTAAAAAAGGTATATGTACTTAAGGCTTTATAATATAAGTTCGTTAAAAAATACCATAAATACCTATTATACGAACATTAAGGAATCTTTTAAATTATGTAATAAATCATTAAGGATTATAACTTCCTTAGCTTATCCAAGGTAGTTAAAAAAGTAATTAATAATTGTAATATGTATAATAAAATAAAGGCAGCTAAATATAAGTTATACGGACTTATATAACTCATAGAAATTTTAGATAAAGTTTGGAAAATTATTGTATAAAATTTTATTATTAAATTACCATTATTAAAAGAACTTGTAATTAATATATTATATAATAACATATAAGTAGTAATTAATAAGTTAATTAAATATAGATATTTTATATTATATAAAAAGTTTAATATAATAGAAAACTTAATATATACTTTTTTTTAAATATATAATTAATAAATACGGATTATTAAAATAAATTATTTTAAATAAAGATAAACTATTTACATTAAAATTCTAAATTAGTTTAATAGAAAAAATAAGCGTTAAACAGAAGTTATTTACAATATATTATTCCTAAATAAATAAATAAATAAAGTAATTAAATTAAATATTAAAATAATATTTTTACATATATATTAATAAAATATAAAATAATTGGGTAAAGTTATTATTATAAGTAAAAATTGTATATAATAATTTTATAAACGAAAATATAAAAATATTTTTATTTAAAATAAATATTAAATACGATTTTATTATAATAAAATTAATTAATATAAAAGAAGCACTTATATTTAAAGTAAAAGCTATAACGGAATAAGTTATTATTATATAAAAGTACTTAATAAATAAGCTTAAGTTTTTATAAAAAAGAATAAAAAGGTATAACGATTAATATAAGATTAAAAAACTAATTTTCAAAAAGGGAGATAAAGTTTATTTATTATAACGAAACATTAAAATTAAAAGACTAAATGAAAAGTTGGATTATAAGAAACTTAAGCTTTTTAAAATTAAAAAAGTTATTTTAAAAATTAATTATAAATTATTATTATTATTAAAAATGAAATTATATTTAATTTTTTATATTTTATTATTAAAATTAACCTTAAAAAATACATCGATATAAACCATCTTAAATATTGAAACCGATTAAAAATATAAGGTTAAGAAAATTTTAAATTTAAAATTATTTAAAAATTAAATTAAATTAAATATTTAATAAAATAAAAAAATTACTTATTAAAAAAATATATATATAAGAATTAATTAAATACCTTAAAAACGTTTAAGAACTTATTAAGGGATTTTATTAAGAAAATCTTAATCGCTTATAAATAAAAATGGATTTAAATTTAAGTTAAAATTATCTTAAAAGGTAGCTTTATTAGGGTTACCTTTAAAAAAGTTAAAGGGGTTAAATGGATTAATATAATTAAAGGTATTTTAAGTTGCACCTTCTTTTTTACGCTTTAAATAATTTAACTCTTTTTTATATTAAAAAATATAAAAAGTCTTATCCTTAACAATATTCTTTTAATACCTTAAATAATATAAAAAAATAATATCTTTTTTTAATATTTCCGAAACTCTTTATTTAACTTAATTAACTTATTTTTAACTTTATTACGTTTTTCTTTTAAATAAAAAAACTTAAAAATAAAATAACTAATATAATTTATTCGTCGGACATAATAATTATAAAATAAAAGATTAACCATAAAGAAATATAATATTTCCTTAAAATAATTACAATTCGAATAAAATATTTTGGAAAAACTAAAAGTTTTAATATAAACAGCATAAACTTTAAAAACCTAACATTAATTTAAACAATAAGCCTTAATAAACAACTTAAAAACACATCCTAATATTATTAAATTAAATTAATTTAATAAAATAAGAAAATAAAATAAGGGAATTTATTAAATTAAAAATCTTTAAAGGTAAAAAATATAAAAAAAGGAAAATAATATTACGAACCAATATTTACTAAAAACATATTAATTTAAGCAATAAAAATAAAATCTTAAATAACAATAAGTAAACTTTAATTATGGCCATTAATTTAATTAATTTAACTAAATTAATTAAATTAATTACATTATAATACCCTTAAAAAATAAAAAAGATAATTAAAATTATAAAAGTTAATATATATTTAATCATTTATTTATATTTTCTTAATTATTAATTTAAATTTTATATTTAACCTATATAAGAAAAAAAACTTTAAGCTTTTTTAACGAATATTTATAACGTTATATTAACATTTAACCCGTATTATTACTATTTACTTAAAATTAAGACCCTAGTTATTCCACTTTAACAAACTTAAGTGTAAGTTCGTTACATTAAGTTTTTTAATTAAAGTATTATAAAATAAGAAAATTAAATAAAAAATAAAAAATTAATTAATAATAATAATAATAATAAATTTAAATTATAATAAATAATAAAATAAATTAATAATCCGTTATAAATAATAAATATATTTATTAAATAAAAAAATATATTAATATTATATATATTATTATAATAATAATTTTTTTAATTTCATTAATTTATATTATTAAATTTTTAATAATATTAATTAATATTAATAAATATATACGTAATATAAAAATAAATAATAATAAAAGTAATTAATAATAAAGTAAAATTAATATATTATTAATATTTAAAGAAAAAAAGTAAATTAAAAAAGGACGAAAGAAAACTTATTTTTATATAATTTAAAGTATATAAATACTTTTTTTTATTAAGTACGTACTATCACGAGGTACGTACCCATGTTATAAAACCATTAAATATTAAATTAATCTTTTATATATTTTTTATAAAAAGTATTATTTTTATAAATATGATTTTTTAATTAAATTTTATTATTAAAAGTTTTTATTTTAATTTAATATATTTTTAAATTATAATTTATATTTTTACAAATATTATAACGTTAAAACATTTAATAATATTTATTTAAAAAATCACTTTTAATTATTATTTAATTATTTTTAATATTATTTTTTTTTATAATTACTTATTTTTAATTTTACGGTGTTTAAAATATACGTAATTTATTTTTTTAAAATTATTAATTTATTTTTAATAAAATAACTTTATGTAATAAATAATACGTAATTTTTATAATTTTATTTAAAATAAATTAAATACTTAAAAGTTTAATAATAATATATAATTAATTTTAATTATATAAAATTTTAAAATTATTTTATTATTATTTAAAAAATATAATTTAATTATTTTAAAGTTTATACATATATTTTTTTTTATAAATAAAGCTTAAAATATTTTATAAAACGTTAAGAAAAAGTTTTTTTTATAATATATATAAGGTTATAATATATTAACTTTTTAATAAATAATAAATACATGTATTTTAAAAATGCGAAAACAATTATATTTAATAATTTAAATTTATATAAAAAATAAGTAAATATATAAAAATATATAATATTATTATTATAATAATATTTTTAAAATTTAAAATTTTTATTTTATTGTTAAAATTAATATTAATTAAAAAATAATTTAATAATTTAATAAAATTAAATAAAAAAAACTTTAAAATATTAAATTTAAATGTAATAATAAAAATTTTAATTATAAATGTATAAATTACGTAATAATATATAATAAACTTATATTTAATTATTTATTAATTTATTTATTTTTATTTTTATTTTTTTAATAACATTATTAATTTATTAATAAAAATAAAAACTTATTTTAAATTTAATATTATATTATATTTAATTAATTTTATTTAATTAACCTTTTAAAATAATTTTTTTTTAAAAAAATATATGCAAGTATAAAAAATAAAAAATAAATGTAAAAAATATAATATATATTAATAAACTTTAATTAAATATAAAAAGATCTAATAAATTTTCTTTTTTAATTAATAATATTTAATTTTACTCACAATTCTTTATACCATATATCTTATAATCACATTATAAACCCTTTTAAATCTTAACTATTAACACTATATGCATAACGCATTTTACACAAACCAATGGAATATCATTCAAAACTGTTATTGAGCTTTTCGTCTTGGATTAAACCGTCTCACGTTCGTTCTTAATGGCGCGCGCCTGGCGTCCCTTTTCGGACCAAGGGAAATGAAAAACGGGGATAATAAAGAAGGAGTTGCTGCAACAAGATTAGTCGTACTTTTACATCGGAGTATGGTATAATGGGACACGTACCTTGAGTCGGCAATACCGGCGAATGCGTTGTACCAGGCAAGGAATGCGGCCAACAGACCGAATCCACCACCCGCCTGTGTCAACTTTTTACCCGCACCGAGCGCGCCGTTGGACTTTGCGAATTCTGAGCAGGCTAACATAAGGAACGCGAGGTCGAGGGTAAAGAATAGGAGGAAGAACATGACAGTAGAACGCAGGGTACACAAGAGCAAGATGAAGGTGAATATGAACCATCCCGTCAAGAAAAACCCAAGTACCGATGCTTCCTCGGCCTCTGTGTACTTGTCGAAAGTCTGAAAGCCCGGGGTGAGGGCGATAGCGTAGGAAATCCAGAAGCCACCGAACGACGATAGGGCCGTGGCACCAAAAGTGTTGCCTATAGCCATCTCCCTTTATAATAAATTAGCAGGCGACGTCGTAGAATAGCGAGACATGGAGCTTCCCATGCCATCGCAATATAGTATTACTTACCACATGCCAGCCAGCAGTTGTACGAGACCGCCATATCCATATGCGAGCGTCAAAGCGATGTTCGGGGCGGCAACATCGCGCGCGTTGACGTTGACAAGTGACAGAACAAACGTCGTTAAGGCGAAAGCACAGAGACCGAGAGGCGCAGGGTTGGCGAACTTGCGGTGTTCGATAGGCTTGTATAAACCTGGTTGGAACTCACCACCGAAGGCAGGGAGTCTAGCATCAGGACCGGAATGGGCGTGGAAGAGCGGATTGCCGCCATAGTCGTAACGCTGGGTAGTAGATGCGCCATTGACATTTGAGCCGGTGGTGGCGGCGCTTCCGATCTCCTTCTCGGCTGTAGGAGCCTGGTGTAATTCGGTAGAGGCCATGGTGACGAGAATTGATGGACCGTGATAATGTGGAGTCTACGTGATAGAATTCCAGATTCACTATCCGCAACTAGAGAGGAATAGACAAGAGAAGCAAAGAAAAAGAAAAGAAAAAGCAAAAAGGGACTTTAATATCAATTAGGGAAAGGGAGAATCCCAGTTTAAATAAAAAGCGTGTAAAAGGGATCCAAGCAGTCTGGCAGTGGGGGATGGTCTGGGGTGATGGGGAGGGATACGGAGAAAATGATACCTTAGCGTCTTAGGGGGGGGGTTCTTAAACCGTATATATACCGCTTATGTACGATTTAAAAAATTAAACTGCTTTATATTAAACGTGTTAAAAAATAATTATTTAATTAAAGTAAATTATTTATATAATAAAATATATTAATTATATTAAATTATATATATAATTTTAAAAAAATATATATTTTTTATAAGTTTATAACGTTAAGCGAAAAAGCTGTAAAAATACCATTTAACTAATAAATCGTGGAAATATAAATACGTTAATAAATTTAAGCCATTTATTATTATAAGCCGTATATATACGATTCGAAATATTGAGCTAGTATATATACGGTTTAAAAAAAAACCCCAAGACGCTAAGGTAATATTGGAAGTTAGGTCAAATAAGTCGAATAACTCGCATAGCTCTAGCCTCTAGGATCTTGTATATCTAGTCCTCATACAGGTAGAAAATGCAACTATGTTGGGAGACGAACCAAACGGAATCCACCAAGCTAGACCAGACATCCAGCGCAGTGGGGAAACAAGACCAGGATGTCTTGTAATTTTACGTATTTCACTCCACACCTTTATTCCCCTCCGCCTCACCACTTTTTCGCAAATCGTGTCTTGCGTGTAGCCCATGTATTTTCCATGTATACAAGGGGCACAGCATGGCTTCTGCTCTCTACGTTCTCGGGGTAAGCTTCTTGGGGTAAGCTCCCCCAGCTTGCCCAGCCAACACCCCCCCAAAAAATGGCATCACTTCTACATTAAGAAGCTAAGTACTATGTAGTTACCAATCGATTGGGTGGCATTAAGACAACCTTGTTAAGCTGCAACGCTGTTAGATTACAACGAGATATCCCAATTAACGTAAAGGGGGGGGAGTTTTAAGCGAAACTTTTACTACGTAGCATGTAACTCCCCTTTTCACAATGTCATGCAGAGTGTTTTGAATCGGGCTGGCTTAAAACGCTAAAAGAGAGGACTCAGCTTCTGGAAAAAGTAGTGATCGTTAATAGGTCGGGATATTACCTGTTACTTATGTGGATTAATAAGCGGATATGCGCTAGCTAGATTAGATAATTGAAACTGGGGTTAAAAGCTTAGTTTGGCGAGTCTACGGCTTTGCTCAATAGATCCGGACCAATCCTCGATAGACCCATCTCAAGGGTTTAAGACAGGGTTGTAACTTGTTTGTAGCGTCTTTTTCCCCGTCGCGCCGGAGAAAAGGGACGAGTTTCCAGTCACTCCACTACCGTCCTTTCATTTTTATTTTTATTATTATTTCTATTTTTTCAATATATTCATTTCTGTGAGGTAATCTGTTGATAAGAGCCGTTGGCTAAGTAATTTAGAGATGGTCTAGGGTTGTGAAATGTGAAATGTGGAGTGTGGAGCTTGGAGCGTGGAGTTTACCAACAGTTGATCGTGTCCGTGACGTGATAGAAGCTTAAACCATAGTACAAGAATAACTAAAGACCTTCTAAATCATTACAAATAGGTAATAATAAGAGGAGCCGAGCGGCATGTTTCTCTTTATAAATGTTTGAAAATACTTCTACGAACTGACTTTTAAAATTTTAATAAATTATCATTATCTTCTTTTTCTTCTTTTAGTATATACCATATAATAGGGGTCGGGATGACCTTTTATCATTACCTGTAACTTGGTACGCTATCTTTAGTCTTACCCGAACTTGCGTAAACAGCACTAATCACTAATACTAATACCACGTATATGCAGTTTGTAGAGGGAAATAAAACGAACTCGGTGAGAAGTTAAGTTAGGTATATCAAATAAACGTCCGATGCTTTCAACTTGCTCCTATCCCATCCCATTGCAACCGTGATAGGGTAGTCCTACCTATCTAACACCCTTAGCAATAATCAGAGGCTGCCGACCCGAAACTCTAGATACTCGGAACTTACGGATCCGTAGTCCATGCGCTAAGGATGTTATTGGACAGCCATTAGACCAAAGGCAAGGCAAAGTTGGCTCACAAAAAGGACTAAATCCCCCGCTCTTGCGGGGGGAAGCGAACAACTTCCCCATCATCCTCCACCGTCATGTCGTGATCTCCAAGATCTGTCCAAGAGTCATATCGTTCTCAATAGTTAGCTCTCACCGCTCGGTTGTGCTATGTCATTGGCGACTAGAAAACTGCGCCGTCCGGCCACTTGACTTAATGAGGTTGTTCCTTTGGTGCGACAGGCATCGAACGAGCTTGGAAGCAAATACAGGAATGTCTTACCCCAGATTGTACCCCACAAATCCGCGGAGCTGAGGAAGCTGAGAAAGCTGAGAACCAGACGTCATTTACAAATAGCTACGCAGAATCTAAATACCTACACAAGGTACTGGCAAGACAGGATATTCGCGAGATCGTGTTGCAGGATAAACGTTTCCAGCTCACGTAGAAGACCAATTCGCTATCCCATAGGGGTGTGTTGTTATGTTACTTTAGAAGCAGGATTTCCGACACTTCTGCACATATTTGCGCTAGTAGTCCAAGTAATAATGATACACTTAGATCTTAAAGTATGTTGTTCGGCTCTCTAGCAAAGGCTATCAGTTGCGGTATTGAGTCGCATCTCTCAGTAGCCCGACAATAGTCCCTCAGGAGAGATAAGTTGTTACTGCAAACGACATATAAAGTAGTACATCACTATCTCTATTTAGTTTTGGTGTCTCCCGAAATGACGGCGGGACCTAGTCGAGGATGTAGTTGACCCTACACTCCAGAGCTAAAGAGAGACCTTTTGATGCTGTAGTCAAAAGGCAGCTGACCAGTTTGAATCAATCCATAGAAACATCCTCAGGGTCCCTCTCGGGCCCACCAGACTCATTCATGTCTGGCATCCAACCCTTCGGCCGCTCGTTACCCCGTACTGTGATGCCGTATCCAACCCTCTCTACCTTGAGGACCTGCTCGATCATGATGTCCAGCTTTTTGGCGTATACGCTAGACTTTCCACCGGCGGGTGGGCAGATCTGAAGCATGGAGCTTATATCCTGGAGGTCATTCAGGATCGTCCGGTCGTGGTCGGAGCCTTTGGTGCTCGAGCCTGGCATGCTTCCGCTTAATGCGGTGACGGCGGTTGCGAAGCGCATCATCTCACCTGTCAGATCGAATATACCAAACAGGTAGTCAGGAGTAGTCAGTGATATGTCAGCTGGGAGGGCCTCTTGGGCCTGCGATGGTGAGAGAAGCTTTTGGTGTTGGAGGTAGTGAGAAAAAGAAACGGCCTCGACAAATTCCTCAAGACAGATCAACGGATATCGGTAACGATTCATCCCTGTTACATCTGACTCAATGGTGGTTAGAAGTCCTCCTATCTCCTTTAGACGCTCATCGACGTCTGCTTGGATGCGAGGGGGGAGCGGCTGGTTAAGCTTGCGGACACTGCGAGATGGCTGTCAGGGAAACTGTAACTCGAGCAACAACTGATATCTCGATTTGGGGGGAAGAAGGGGAAGAATATTACCGTTGCAGTGAAAAAATTCTATAGTACTATTAGCGATAAAGGGCTAAGGAAAGAGGAAATACTTCAAACGCTCGTCAACTCACATCTTCTTGCTGAGAGCGGTAACATCTCGGGAAACCTTCCCGATCTTCATACGGCGATCATGATGCTCGTCCAATTCGTCGCGGAATGATTCGAACATGGAAGTGTACTGATTGCGAGGCATATCCTTAGTGGCCCTGCTATCCGCCACCTTTTCCTTGCCTTGGTGGTCTCTCTTAATGCCACCACCCATGGCTCGAGTCTTGTTATGCGGGACAACTACTTCAGGCATTCCTCTATAGCACCAATTCCTTTGTATTATTATTTTCTTTCTTATTCGTATATCATGTGGTATATCATGTGAAATTGTGTTGTGTGTTGATAAATTGTGGTATTTGAATAGGTTAGATGAATAGGTTAGATACCTACGTACCTATACTTTAATTTGTAACTAACTACCTTTGATTTGATTATCGCGACGAAACTAAATCGTACCTAGGTACCTAGGTACCTACTTATATGTAAGTGCATATCTTAGCGCTATATAATTAACCCTTATAAAAGTTATATTTATAAGGAAATTTTTATTAGTTATTAACGCCACTTGTTAAAGCTTATTTTTAGTTATTAAAATTGTTAGTTTTAATTAATAAAATTAAATAATTTTACTATTAAAATATTAAAATATATAAATTATATAATATAAATTATATATTATTTTTTATATAATAATATTATTAATAAGTACGTATATAATGTAAAAGCAAATAATAATAAAAGCAAATAATAATAAGGTAAAACTAGTATATTATTAATATGTAAAAAAAAAAAGAAAATTAAAAAAAAAACGAAAGAAAATTTATCCTTATATAATTTAAAATATATAAGTATTTTCTTTTATTAAGTACGTATTATAACAAGGTATATACTTATATTATAAAACTATTATTTATTTTATTTTCTTTTTTATAATTATTTAATTACAAATTAAATTATTAACTTACATTTTAATTATTTTTTTAAGTATAAATTAATTTAATTATTTTTTATTAAAGTTTTTATAACTTTATTTAAAAAAGCTTTTATTATAATATTTATTAAGTTATAAGTTTTATATATTTAATAAATATTATTTATTTTTTAATTTTTATATAATTGCTTTAAAATTATTAAGTTAATTATTAAATTTTTTTATTAATATTATTTATTTGTACTAAATATTAATATAAGAAAAAAAGTTAATATATAAAACGAGTAAAACTTTTAAAAACAAAACCTATTTTAAAATAGTGTTAATAAAATAATAAATAATAAAATTAACGTTAAAACTTTAAACTATTTTATTATTTTAATTAATAGATTTTTTATTATTTAAAATAATAATATAGTTAATTTAAAAGTTAAAGTTTTATTATTTATAAACAATCCGTTAATAAATATATATAATTATAAATTTTAAAGATTTAAGTTAATATATTTAAATTTACGTATTTAATTATTTATTTATTATTTAATTTTAATGTTAAAAGCTTTAATTTCTTTAAAACTAAGTTTTAAATATTAAATTACTATTAAATAATTAAAAGCAGCTTCGAACTATTATATAAAGAAAATATATGTTCTTTAAGCTTTTTATTTTATAAATTGCTTAATTATATTTACATTTAATAGCATTAAATTTTTAACTTAACCCTTTTAAAATAATAATGATCCCGTAATCTTTATTATAAATAATAATATAAAAGTTATTAAAATCCTTAATTTTATTATTTAATATTTTTTAAAAACGTATTTTAATTTTAACTTTAATAAATATTTTATTTTTAATAACGAAAAATTATATTATACTTACATTTAAAATATTATTTATTTAAAAATTAATAAACTTAAATAAATTTAAATTTATTATTAATAAATAAAAATTAAATATTAATAATTAAATATATAATTTTTATTAATAATAATATAAATAAATTTTAAATTAATAAATATTTAATTTTATAAAATTATATAAGGATTTAATAATATGTAATAATATCCTTTTAAAATATTTATTTTTTAATTTAATTAATAAACGTACGAAAATTATTTTTTATATAAACGTTTTAAATTAAATATAAATTATAATAATATTAATTATTAATTAATCTTTTAAATAATAAATATATATATTATAATAAATTCTTTATTAGAATTATTATATTTTTAAATTATTAAATATAATTTTTTATAAGGTATAAAAATATGTTACGAACTAATAGCACGGGAACCATACCTTGTATGGAAGCGGGGATCTTAAAACATATAATCCTAAAAACAAGTAAATTGCAAATAAAACGTATAAGAAAATAGTAATCCTAATGCTCTTAATAATCTTATAGGATTAATAAGATTAATAAAATCATTAAAAAAACTATAATAACTTTAGAATAAAAAATAAAGAAAAATTATAAGATATTTAAAACCATTATATATTTAAATATTTATTTACATTTTTTTAATTATTAATTTAAATTTTATATTTAATTTATATAAAGAAAAGGATTTTAAACCTTTTTAATAAATATTTTTAACATTTTATTAATATTTAACCTATATTACTATTATTTACTTAAAATTAAAACCTTTATTATTATATTTTAACGGACTTAAATATAAGTTTATCACATTTTAATAACTCTTTAATTAATATTATTACCAATTAAATATAATATAAATACTAACTTAAATAATAATATTCTTTCACTTACATAAATTAATTATAACATATTTATTTTAAAATACTTATTAAATAAATCCCTTAAAAATTAACTTTTAATAAAAATTAATTAAGTAAAATAATATAACGAACTTAATATATTACCTTTTAATTATATATTAAAATTTATTAATAATATAGCTCCAACAGAAATTAGGTCTTAAACTGGATTATTTAAAGATAAAGTAAACAAAACCATTAAAATTATTAATAAAAGAAAAGGAAAAACCCTAATTTAAGGAAAATAAATTAACTTTTTAGGAAAAGGACTTTAAAAGGCATATTAAAATTATAAAAAATTTAAAAGCAAATTTAAGGCCCTTAAAAAAGAATTAACTTAATTTAAAACTAAGAAAAACAAAGATCCTAACAAAGATCCTAATAATAATCCCAACGAAAACCTTAATAAAGACTTTAACTTACAACTTGTAAGATAATAAGAACCCACAATCTTATTACCATCCAACAAAAGATTTAAACTATTTTCGCCACTTAAATATAATAATATTATAAACATAAAAACTTAACTTAATGCAATTAAATTTTACTTAATTTTCTTTTAAATCAATTTTAATAAAGATAAACATAAAGTACTAACCATATATTAGCATTTTAAAAGCAACGCCTTCGAATGGCTTTAACCTATTATAAATAACCACCTTAATAATATTTAAAAAGAAATAAAAAAGTCCTAATATGTTTTTAATAAGTATTTTAATTTCGAAAATAGAATATAATTAATATTTAATAACTTATTTAAGAAAAAAAATGCTTAAAAGGTTATTTAGAACTTTAAATAAACCAAAAAAGCCTTAAAATATATTATTAAGTTCAAACAATTAACAACAATTGCTTAACTCCCTAAAAATACTTAATTTAACTATTTTTATAAAAAATTAATTATATAAATTAAAAACGAAATCTCTAAAGAGAAAAAACTTAAACATATTAATAAATATATTAAATGCGTTATTATTTATAATAAAAGGTTGTACGAAAAGTTTTAAAAAAAGAAAATCAAAAAGCCTATCTTTACTTGTACTAAAAAAAAGGTTAAAGAGGTTAACCTTAGTACAATTAAAATGGAAAAACTTAAAAAAAATATAACTAAAATTAAATATTATAACTATAATAAAATAGGCCACATATTTAAAAACTATAAGGTACCTTATAAATAATTTAAGGTATTAAAAGAATAATTAAAGCTTTAAATTATAAAAGTAATATCTTTAAAAGTATTTAATATCCAAATCTTTTAAATTACTTAAAATATTAAAAACTATATTACTATTAATAATTATTATTTCTAAAAAAATATTTGCAAATATAATTGATAGGATTATTTATAATATTTTAACAAAGAAAAGAAGTAAATAAGAGATTAATTTATATCCTAATAATACTTATTATCCATTAAAATTGAAAAAAGATAAAATATAAATAAAAATTACTTATAAAAAATGCCAAACTGTATTAAAAAATAATATAATTACGAACTTAAAAAATAAACGCTTTTTATAATTATTAAAAACAATTTAAAAAATAAACTTTAAATAATAACCTAAATAAATAATTATAATAAGAATAAGTTTTATAAAACCATAAAACTTATAAATAAATAGGAAATTATAATAAGGTAACAGGAACATAAATAGCCTTTTTATAAATTAAATAAAATAAAATAATAAATAATAAACTGTCAAACGTACAATAACAGTATTATAAATACAAACTTAGGATAACTAACTGGAAATAACTGCACTTATATTTAAAAACAAATTGTTAAATAAAAAAAAGAGCAAAACAAAGAGTTCTACATATTCCTAATAAATTAGACAGCTTTAATCCCCTCTATTACAGCCCTCGTCCAACTGTAAAAACTAAAAATACAGCATTTCCCAGTTATTAGAGGATCATAAGAACAAAAGATCATATACGCAAGAGGAAAATCCATTGCACAAGTCATTAATAAATATCTTAGAACACAAGGAAATGTACACCTTACAAGAAGCTACTAGGATCGAACGCTCTCTGGATATAGATGGATAGATCCCCATCCTTAGTACCAAGAAACCCGATCCAAGACCCAAGACATACGTGCACAATCCACAACAAAACCCAAGATATAAGAAACATCACAAAATATCTTAGATATTATACCCCTATAATCGTTACCGAATACACAGCCTAACCAAAAAAAAACACGGGATTTTAGCCTAAGTCGGTCAAAGGATATCTACTTATATACTAACGCAAAAATATTAATAAGGTCCGAATCGAGTTCGAACTAACTTCCTTAAGAAGCATATAAGTAAATAATGTAATACTTGGTATTGCATTTTTAATAAAGGACAGGCCTTAAGCTTATATATATTATAAAAAAACGTAAGAAAATTACAACTAACATAAATATAAAGTATATATAATTTACAAATTTATTACTTTAAAAAAATATATAAAACGTTATAAGAATATAAAAGTACTGAATAAAGCCTTAATAGAACTTGTTAAAAATTAATAAGAAAAGTTTAATAAAAAAAACGTAAATAAAGAAAATGTCCCATTAAATCTTAACGTAATTTAAGCTATTAACAATTACTTATATATTATTATAAAATAAAAAGACCAGAAGTTTTAAATATTAATTAATTATAAATATTTAATAAATATTATTAACTTAAATATAATTAACAAATACTTA